AGACATTTCCATCCATATTCATATATATGTAGGAACATAGGAATATATGAAATACATATATATATTTTACACAAATCACAGTAAATAAATCACTATTTGAATACTTAGCTTTCAAGATTCATTCATGTTGTGGCATGTATCAGTAGTTTAGCATTTCATTGTATGAATACACTACAACTTGTTTATCCATTTACCATTTATTGTTTCTACTTTTTGACTATTGGGAATAAAACTTCTATGAACATTTGTGCATAAGTACTTGTGTGAACGTATGTTTTCATTTATCTTAGGTACCTCCAAGTGGGATTTTTTTGGTTGTATAGTAATGTGTATTTAACTTTATAACAAACTGCCAAGCTGTTTTCCAGAGTGATGAACCATTTTGCTTTTGTGCCAGCAAATTTATTAGCATTCCAGTTCTTCATTATCTCCAACACTTGACATTGTCAGCCTTTTTAATTTTAGTTATTTTATTGGGTGTTCAGTGGTGTCTTATAGTTTTCATTCACATTTCTCTGATAACTGTTTTTCTGTTATGTCCCATTTGTTCTTCCATTTTCTTCTTTCCTGTATTCTTTTGGATTAATAGAGTATTTTAATGATTCCATTTATCTCCACTATTGGCTTATTAGCTATACTCTTTGGCCTTTTATTTTTTTAAATAGTAAGTGATCTAGGCTTTTACTTATCACACTGTGTTAGAGTACTTTATGTATAATATAGAAACCTTACAACAGTATATCTTCATTTCTCCTCCCATCTTTTGTGCTTCTCATACGTTTCACTTCTATATGTATCCTGTAATACATTGATTTTGTAATTGTAAAGAAATTAAAACAAATTCCTCATGTATGTACAGTCATATTTACCTGTCTGGTGGTCTTCATTACTTTTTGTAGATCTGCGTTTCCATCTGTTGTCATTTTCCTTTCTCTTCAAGAACAGCTTTTAACATTTCTTATAGTGTAGGTCAGCTGACAGTGAGTTTTCTGAGATTTTGTTTTTCTAAAGAGGTCTTCATTTTGCCCTTATTTCTGAAGGATATTTTCATTGGATATAGAATTCTAGGTTGTTACTTTTTTCTTTTCC